TGCTAGTCACGGAGGTAAGGTCGAGCAGATGAAGAGGGAGCACCCCGGGTGGTAAAAGCAGTGCTAGCCGCCCGGCGTGTGTCAGCCTGCCGGGGAGAAGGGGCTGCCCCGGGGGGCCGGGCCGGCCGCAGGAGGCGCTCCGTGGAGCCGGGGCACCTCCAGGCTGAAGTGTCCGAGGCTTCTGTGTCCTTCTGCCCTGCGGTAGTGTCGGGTTTGTGGCCGGGGGCGGGGGGACGGCACTGGTGTTTTGTACTTTAATTGCCTGCCGATATCCAGAAAGACTCTCGCGTATTCCCTTTGCAGAAGTCTTGTTTGCCTTGGTGTAAAATCTAGCTTTGCTGATGAAGTCTGACGTGAGTTGCCCTCTTGAAAGACATTTTATGCATGTCACAGTGGGACAGCATAATAGGTGGTGGTTGACCTTTTTGTTTCCCTTTTATCGAAGGCGTTTTCGGCTGCTTTGTAATGTGTGAAACAACAGGAAGGCATACATATCGTTTTCAATTCTAAAAGTATAGTCAGGAAACCTCAAGTTGAAGTGTTGCAGACTTAAGATTTGGGGTAATGTGCTGACAGTGGTTCCTCTGACAGAAGGTGACAGGAGAACCTTGCAGTTGTAGACCCATCTCCTTGTTTTGTCAAAAACAGAGCCGGAATTGCAACTTTCCCTCGTTACTGTGACCTTTTCAATAAAAAAACCCCAACCAAACCAACAACTAATAACCAAACAAAAAAACCCTCAACCCATCACTTTGCCATAGTGCAACCTGGTCTGCCAAAACTGACAGTCAGTTTTGTTCCAGGATTCTCTTTTCAGCAGGACCTAGTTGCTGTTGCACACCCGGAGAAGTTCAGGTGCTGGACACTGAATTGTAGGTCTGGGTTTAATTTTCTTGGGTCTGCTGTGGGAATTTCCAGTGCTATAAGCAGAATTATTGCTTGCTTTGGTCTTGATTCCCTCCTTTTAAAAATGAAAACAATGAAATTTGCCTGCCTTTGCACGTTCCTGTTGCAAAATGGTGGCAGTATCCCATTAGAAGGTCAAAGGGGCAAAACAGTTATACAGTATAGGCACCTTATGTTATCTGGACTGCATTCTGGTCTTAGGTGGGAGACCTTCTGCCCCAAATCTCCCACAGGATAAACCAGATGTTGCAATGTGCCACTATTGTTGAATCATTTTAGAAGATTAACCCCAGGGCCTTGTGGAACAGGTCACAGACCCTGGGTCTTTCTTTGCTTGTGGTTTTTGGTGGCGTTTTTATTGCGTTTTTGGTTTTCTTCTAATGTCGCTAGCGGTTGTCACATAGTAACGATGCTATAACCCTCACCTTTGACTTTTTCCTGTCTGCCTGTCATCACCACCACACAGTTTGCATGCTATTAAGCTGTTTCTCCAGAATGTGCAAGAAATAATTGCTTAGCAGTTTCAATTGTGCCCTGAATTTTGGTAACTTCATTAGAAGATTTGTTAAAGAAATTACAGTGTAGCTGGTTATACTCATGTGCTGTTGTTCCATTTCTTATTAATACTGTGAATTTAATGCAAGTTTTACAAACTCTTGTAGTTATTTGTGGAGTTCAGTGATTGTATGTGCTGGAGGAAGAAACATAAAATGCCCTTTGCTTCCCTGGTATGTCTTTGCCTTGTATCTCTTTAAGATAAAACTGGAGCAAGTTCATCCCCTAGGGCTTGTCTGCCTTGGGAAATCGGGATAGCACAGAAAGTGTTAAAGGAAATAGAAATGGTTGGTTGTTTGTCTTGGAAAAACTGCTTTTGTACTGTGTATCTTTTCCCTGTCTGCAGGCAGGGGTCAGCTCCAAATGGAGAGCTATTAGGGCCCAGCTGAGGGGCACTGAGTTACCAGTGTTCCCCTGTACAATGATTATTTTTACGTTGGAGTCTGTCTCAGTGTATGTAATCGTGGGAAGCTACTTCTGACTTTGTGTACCTGTGTGCACTATCCCTTGTTACAGTGGCACCTTATTTCTTTAAGCAAGCCTTTAATTTTCGTATTTCAAAACTCCAGCAAATTTATTGGAAAGGGAAGATGTTTGCATCATTTCTTGTGCTGTTTGAAGTTATATGTTGGAGGGTTTCACTTCATGTAGTGTCACTTTGTTTCTTTCTAATTAAAAGTTTTGTTTTTTTTGAAGGGATCCCTCCTTTGTTGCTGCCTGACCAGTGTGTCCTTTAAATACGCTCCAGCAGTATTCACACAAAACTGACAAACTTAAACTGGAGGAGGGAAGATGGCATCCTTGGCTGAACTGGGGAAGACAGTCAGTAACCCGGTAACTCCTGTCATGTCAACAATTTCTTCCTTGGGAAATGAGACTTTGCTGTTTTATGTCAAAAGTACTCATACTGTTTTGCACAGTGAGGGGTTGTTGTGGTTTGAGCCCAGAGGGCAACTGAGCACCAGGAAGCTGCTCTCTCAGAAATGGGAAGGAAAAAAATAAAAACAAAAGGCTCTGGAATTGAGATAAGGACAGGGAGAGATGACACACCCCCCATTATGGCAAAAGACAGACTTTTTAGGGGAAGAAAAAAAGAACATCAATTTCATTCAAACACCATCACCACTGCAACTTAATTTAACAATCAGAGTAGGACACTGAGAAATAGAACCACGTTCCCCCACCCCTCCCTTCTTCCTGGGCTCAGGTTTGCTTCCGATTTCTCTACCTCCTCCCCTGCAGCAGTACAGGGGGACAGGGAATGGGGGTTGCAGTCAGTTCATCACACATTGTCTCTGCTGCTCCTTCCTCTTCAGTGGGAGGACTCATCACACTCCTCCTCCTGCTCCAGCGTGGGGTCCCTCCCACGGGAGACAGTCCTCCATGAACTTTTTCCAACATGAGTCCCTCCCATGGGCTGCAGCTCTTCCTGAACTGCTCCAGTGTGGGTCCCTCCCATGCAGGCAGTCCTCCCAGCAACAAACTGCTGAAGTACGGGCTTCCCACAGAATCCCATCCTTCTTATCAGGCACAGGCCCCTGCTCCAGCGTGGGGTCCTCCATGGGCTGCAGGTGGGCATCTGCTCCACCATGGACCCCCATGGGCTGCAGGGGCACGTCTCGCAACGGGCTGCAGCGAGGGGTGTGTCTGCTCCAGCACACCCTTCCCTGCCCCGCTCCTCCTTTCTTCCAGTGACCCTGGTGTTTGCAAATGAAGTTTTGTGCAGTGTGTGGATAGCTGAGAAGGGAAGTGGTGAGAGGGTAGAAAAGGATGTGTATCTTCTGGCAGAAATGGTTGACACTCTGGATTTAGACAATTTTTGCTGTCATTCCCCTTACCCTCCTCAAAAGTTCACAAGATTATGTGTCAGCAAATGTATCAGCTTTTCACATCATCTGGCTTTCCATGATAATATATATATAGTAAAAAAACCCCAAAATCTCAGCTTGTCCTTTTATGGTCCAATAATCCATTCAAGAATAGTATTTCCAGTCTGTTCATTTTTTTGTTGTTAAATTACTGGAACTCTTATTTGCAATTGATCTTTTATTTCAAAAATGTCCTAAAATCTTATACACTATTCCACAGACCAGGGATTTTTTGGGGAAAAAAATCCAGAAAACAACCTTGGCAGAAATTTTTGTCTGCTAACCAGAGCAAATGCAACATGTGCCACCTTATATTTCCTTTTTTAATCTAAAGCACAGGTGATGAGATGCAGACTTCTAGCTTTGCTTTCAAGTCAGTCTCCTGTGAACTTCCACAGTTTTCTCTTAAGGTGCTCCCCTTCCCTCCCTGAAGTTCTGGGTGCATCAGCTCTAGGTCAGGGTAGGACTTCTGTCAGCATGTCTGAGCCTTTGCCAGAGCGCTGTGCTGGTATGTGTGTGGCTTTTATTTTAACTGACATGTCCTCTTCATGGCTTAACAACTCCTACCATGCTGCCACTTCAGTTTAGCATAATGTGCATGTGTTACCTTCTTCAGTTATTGATATGGAAGAAAAGATAGGCAGGCTTTGAGCCAGACTGCTTATTGCAGATAACATAAAGACCAAGACCCTTGAACAGGGCTATTTCAGTGCACCTTACAGTTCTTAGCTCAGTAGGATGAGGTATTTTGTTGTGTTTATCATGTAGTTTTTAACTGCGAAGACATTCTGTGACACAGTCTCTTCCTGTCACTGTTTTCCGAACTGGAGCAAGAACAAGCAAAAGGCAGCTGTTGTAGTCTGGGATCAGAAGTGTTGTGGAAGGCGTCTTCTGCTACCAGCAAAGAGCTGATTAATGGTCAGCCCTTGGCAATGACCTAATTTGAAGTGAATCCTCTTTATTAAAAGTGAGGCAATAAAATATTACCACTCTTCATTTAGGAGCTAGGAATTGAGGCTGGAAATTTTAGTTTTTGTTTTATCTGACAAGCTTGTTTTTTATAGGCAAAAAATAGGCTGGGTTTTTCCTTCCTCTTGTAGCGGGTGTTTAAGTGCTTTTCTACTGTTTCTTTTAAATTAAATGCTAGTTGTGTTTCTTTTAATGTGTTAGATCTAACTAAGTATTAGAATATTATTTTTTAAACTACTTTGGATTTTTTTTCTCCATCACAAAATGTTATTTGAATTTTATTTTTTTTCCACCCTCTTCTAGACCATTCCATATGTTGAGACAATACATGGTGGCCTTGTTCCTGGAAATATGATTGTGATACATGGGACTGTTCCTGATGATGCAGACAGGTAGTGGCTACAGTGTCACTTTTTGCAGTGTCACTGTGTGAACAAGAATGTAATGGATAAAATGTTTCCAGGGGTCCTACTTATGATGGTACACAGAGACTTGATCTAAATCCTTGTGATAGCATCAGAATGAATGCAGGCTGAAGTGGTTAATGAAAGCTTTGTTATAAGAAGTGGAGGATGAACTGATTTTTTGTTTTCTGTTGATCCTCTCCTCTCTTTTGCTTTGCCTGCTTTGGCATTTTTTTTTTCCCTGTCATAGCATATATCTCCTTGTCTAAAGAGGTTATCTGAGACTAACAAAATTGATAACTGAATGTGTTGTGTGAAGGAATTAACTGAAACTGGGATAAGGAGGTAGGGACTAGTGCACGTGCCCAGTATGGGGGTTCTGTTACCTGACTTTCCCCAAGGTTCGTTTAGTTACTCTGCTGAAGGTGATGGGAGGGAAGGTGGTGAACACAGTAAGTGAGGACCTTACATGATATGAATGATGGCCATTAAAGAAATACTTAAATATTTTAGTTCATTGTAATAAATCATGGGACAACCTTTCACAAATGTGTAGGAGTTGGATGAATATGTTTGGTTTTTTAACTTATCCAACAACATGTCATATCTGCCTGTTCTGAGGCTCCACAGTAAAACACAAGTGTATTGAACTTTTAGGTGATTTTTTTTGACAGACTGAGCTGAATGTGGTTTGTCTTATTTTTATGGTTAGATTCCAGGTGGATTTACAGTGTGGCAGCAGTACAGAGCCTCGAGCTGATGTGGCATTTCATTTCAACCCCCGCTTCAGAAGGTCTGGCTGCATTGTTTGCAACACTCTAGAGAGGGAAAGATGGGGCTGGGAGGAGATCACTTACGAGATGCCCTTTAAAAAAGGGGAGTCATTTGAGATTGTTATCACGGTTTTAAAGGATAAATTCCAGGTGAGTCTGGGTCAATTCTTTATTTATACTCGGTTGTCAGGCCAATAAGAGAGAGGTATTTTATATACTTAAAATAAATAGTTGGAAGCCTTGGTTTCTCTGTTACCTAGGTATAGTCTAACTACAGAAAAGTTTAGAAGCTTTTCTTTAAAGCCAAGCTAAGTAAATCAGACCTTTAATTATGTATTGTTTCCCTTTAAGTTGGATGAGTGAGTAACTTCCTGTCACAGCTAATGGGTACTCCACCCTTCCCTTCTTAGCTCAAAGTGCTGACCTTAGGATAAGCCTGTTTTGTGACTAGTGTAGGACAGTCCTCTTGGAGGAAAAACGTGAGGTGTATATGTCTTGCTCTGTTAGATTGCAATAGTAGAGTCTATTAGATTGGTAATGCCACGTTGGTAAATGAGAAGGTGATAGAGGCAAAAAGTGTGAAATGCAAATTTTAGTGTAGGCAAATGAATCTCCCTAATAGTGATGGAAAGAGGGACTGAATCATGGATGAGCTGAACTTAGTTGCTCTGAAGTTTCTAGGATACTTCCTCCTTCTGGACCAACCAGTGTGAAACAGAGATACATGCATACAATTTGATACATGGCTGGAGTAGTCTATGTTTAATACAATTTTCCTTTTTTGTTTCCTGTCTCTTTAGGTGACTGTAAACAAGAAGCACTTGCTGCTCTACAACCACAGAGTGAGCCTTAAAAAAATAGATACTCTTGGAATATACGGCAAAGTGCAGATCAAAACTATAGATTTTGTTTCTAATGTAAGTTACATAGAGAGCTGACTTGTTTCCTTTTCTCTGTCTTGTTGAACTGCAGAGCAGGATTTATGGTGAAAAGGAGGTAAAGAAAAGCAGCTGCGCAGTTTAACATCAGTTTACAAATTTTTTTTTCCCCTGTGTTTCAACATGTGAGTGTCGTGTGAGGATCTCTGTCTTCCTGTTTTAGTCTTGAGGTTAGGGGCTAAAGGGTGACAAAGTTTACCTCTTAAAAAGTTAACAGGATGGATGGTATAAGAATTGATTTGATCTAGGGATGGATTAGACTTCAAATATTTGCAGTAGCTCCAAAGTGAATTATTGTTGTTTAGAAACACTGAATACTAAGTTCAGCCACGGCTCTAACTGCTTGTGCACGTAACCCTGGTCTTTCTGCTAAAATGACTTGAGTTGTTGAATGAATTGATGAGGAGGAGTGTACTTTTATTTTTGGGGGGTGAGAAGAGGTATCCTTTCACGAAGACTTTGTGGCTTGATTTGCACTTGGACTAAACTGCAGTGAATTTAAAGTGAATGCAGTGCTGTGCTTCTTCTCAGCTGCCAGCTCTGCTAGAGAAAGTAAACCAACAGAGAGCAGTTGAACAACATATTTCCTTGTGCAGGAAGAGAGATTCTTCTGCTCTGGGAGGGTGAGACTTTAGACCAGAAGTGGAAGGTGATAAGTTCTAGGGAGATACAGAAGGTGAATGCCTTTTCCCTTTCTTCCTGCCACTCGTTAAGGTGGCCTACCTACTCCTGTGTAATATTCTGGGTCTGTTCTGTCCCATCCTCACTACATTGTGGGCAAAGCTTGAGTCTCTTGCTGCCAAACATCGGGTCTAACTCAGGTCAGCAGACGAATAACTGTTGATAGAAGGTGGGGATTTGGGCCCGAGTGGAATGGGGTCTAAGCTTTAGAGATATGTCTACTCACTGATCATTTTCAAAGCCTGTGTACAGACTTTTGTGGTCCCCATTACTTGGCCTTGGGCATGCTGCCAGAATAGTGTTACTTCAAAGCTGTCTGAGTCTTGGTCTTGGAGGACTGACTCTGAGAAGAGCTTGGGGGCAAGCAGGTGCTGTATGTTGGTTTCTGTCGCAAGCATGAAACAACACAGTTGCTTTAGTCTGTGGCTGCTGATGCTGTATCCTTTGGGGAAGAGGAGTAGAGAAAGACAATTGTTTCTTTTTGTCTTTGCTTCTAATACACTCTTCCGAGGAGGAAGATGGAGGCTTGTATTGAAACAAACAAGCTGAAGACACAGTCTGCCAGAGTTAGGCTGGAACTGTATCTCTGCATGGCCATATTGCTCATCTGTCCTTCCCATGGGAAGAGACAGGGATGCAGGGGGCTGCTTAGAATCCCAAGACCCCCTGCATGGACCTGCCCTGCTGGTATTCCTACCCCAGTGAGGAAGGCTCAGTGGGTACCCTCAGATGGTAAGGGCTTAACAGTGCTCTGACTGTTAAATAAAGACTCTAACTGTAATGAGGTGGTCTTTAGAAATCTCGATTTGGCTTCAGCAATTGATCTTCAGGACTTTTCCTGGGTTTGTAGGGGTTTGGCTGTCTTTCTTTACCATAGCCCTAGATTTCCATGTTAACAGTTCATGCTTCAAAGAAGCACAGATCCTCATATGGTTCTAAATCAACTTTATGTTAAAGTGCTATGATGTTAGCAGTGGCATCCAGATACCTCTCTGCAATCTTTACAAAGTTCTCAGCCATCATCTCTAGGAGTAACAAAGATAAACACAGAAAATGTACTTATCTTTGTAAAAGGTTGAGTGAATCTCCCTGTTGTCTGATAAGCTAGTTAATGTTTGCTTTCTCTTGCAGGTGGAAATGCCAGATGGCTCACAATTTGTAAGTGTCTCTTGTAGACTTGTGGCAAATGTGAAGAGTAAAAAAGATCAAAATAAAAAGATCTCAATTATTCATGAAAAAGCATGCACAGAACAAGGGAATTGAGATGATCATCAGTGAGGTTTTTTAGAGAGTAATCCTCTGCTGCTGCTAGTAGAAGTGAAGCTATTTGTTAAATTGTTTAGAAAACCCAAAAGATAAACACAGCATTCACAGCCATAAACAGAGAAATAGAAAGTGAGGTACCTGAAGTTTTGAAGAACCAAATCACATCAAAACCTTTTTTTCAAATAATCATACTTACTTTCCTCTGCCTTAGGGAATACCTGCAAAACAAAAGTATTCTGCAGTTATACTACTCCAGCTGGCCTTATGTTAATGTGTGTATCTCAGAATCTGTCTGGCTACATCTTATTCTTGCTGACAGATCCATGCATATCCTGAATATGCTTCAGGTAGCTGGATGCAAGCATTGCACCTTAGGGTTGGAACTTGCACCCAGCTAGCATGGAGCATAGATGGAGGGGGTGCTCATCTTTTAGCAAAAAGCTGTACAGGTGGTCAGTATCCAGACTGGAGTAAGGACCATGTTCAAATTGAAAAGGGGTTGGAAACCAGGAATGTGTATAAATAGCATCTGTGGAGAAGGTGCAGTTGCAGTGAGTGCCATGATTTTAGTTGCCTTGTCACTTGACAGTCTGCCTTCTTCAGTCTTCTTTTTTCAAAACCAAATAACATGCAATATTGTCATTTGCAAGTGGTGGACTTCAACAAAAGAATAAAGCTGAAGTACTCCTCAATTCACTCATTTTCCCTGATCAAAATAAATTCTAACACAACAGGAAAAAAAAGGCAAGTAAAATACTTGCTCTATCTACCATTATGAACTGGTGTCAGGAGAGCAGAATACTCAGTGGCCCTACTTCTGGTACTTGTGCAGCAGTGGGATACACACCTCGCATGAGTCTTATTCCTTAAAGCATAACTGAAACTTTCCAAGAGGAGAGGTTGGGATGTGTGTATCCAAATAATTATGAGACATTAAATTAGTGGAGGGAGTTTTGTTTTTTTTTTTTTTTTTTTTTTTCATTCTACTCTCCTTCCACCATTACTGGTGGCAGAAGTAGTCGTAAATAGTGTTTATTTTGAACCCAAGGTGGTAGTCTAAAGAAAAAAACCCAACACATTGATACGTTTATCTCAGTGTAACTTTTCTACTATAGTATTAGTATCCCAGATTATGTTGATAGGGTTAACTTTAGCTATAAGTGCAGATTTGCAATTGTAGGCTAGATTTCTTCCTGTTACAGTAAAGCTCAGCTTGTATATTGAAAAAAGTAAATCACAGTCAAAATTTTTACTGGTGATGTACTTCCAGGAGGTTCCTTACATTTGGAATCTTGATGCTGCACTTTGTGTAGGATGCACAGTTCTCATTAAAGGAGAGGTGAATAAAAACGCAAAGAGGTAAGTGTTACAGAATTTTTCTGCTATTTAACTGCGCTGCTCTTGAGAATGAGGAGGCTTTTCCATTGCCTCAGTATATCCATACTCACTTGCAACTTTGCATCTGGAATAATCTGAAACTTTAGTGCACTTTTCTCGGGAACCTGCACGATACCGCTTTAGAGAGGATTTAAAAAAGCAGCTCTGCTGTGAAAAGTGAAGGTAAAACCTGAGTGTTTTACCTATTAAACGTGCATCATTCACAAGACTTTGTGTCTGTTCAGGGTTTTCATTGTGCGAGGCATGTGAGTGCGCACATCATACAAAGACAGCTTTTATTCTAAAAAGATCCAAGAAGGGAACTGGCAGAAGTAGATGGAAGATGAGTGAGTTAGATGAGTTGCCAGTGTGCTTAAATGCTGCATGTTAACGTTTCTCTGAATACTTCTTGGGCAGCATCCTTGGGGACTGTATAAGCATGAAGGTGCCTTACTGACAACAGCTGAGTGATGAAAGCTGATAGGGGAGTATGAGCTATAATTTTGATAGCAAATTAGGAACAATAGGTTGTGAAGAAGACATTTTCCCAACGATTTAAAGAGGGGAGAAGAAAAAGGGAGTGACACATGGTCAGAATGGAGCTGAAGAAATATCTGTGCTTCAGCATGCCCTTTGCTTGAAGGGTGGTTTTGACTCTGTAGAAACATGCCTAAAAATGAAGTGGTTAGTGCAAATGATGAGAAGCAGGCTTTTTTACATTGTGTGTATGCATTGCCCTCCTGTTTCCTCAGAGCACATATCTTCCCTGCAGCTGAACAGCACTCAAGAGTTCATATTAATACTGGAACCCAAGGTCTAGAAATCTCATCAACAAAGTTTGAATGGGCATTAAATTGGACAGGATAATTAATACTTAGATAGTAGCATTTGTTTTCCTTCTTTTGGCTTGAAAAGCTTGTTAGGACATTTCAAGTGCTGAATGTACTGCTTATAAGCGTTAAGAGGCATTTGGGTGTTAGTTAAAGCATTGCAGGTTGCCTGCTCTTTGTGATTTTAAATGTGTAGATTTTTAAAGAGTTTATAAGTTATTTAATGTCTTTCACTCAGTTCACACAGTTGTAGATGTTCCTTTTTCTCAGCAAAAAGGAGGACTTCACAGCTTGGAAATGTAGCTGTTGCTATATTTTGTATCTGGGGTAAGCAATTCTAGATTTCTCAAAGGAGGGAAATAACCTCACAGCTGGAGTTAATTGGAGGGGAGGAATATTTCCTCTTCAAATGCAGTGAGGTCTTTGCCACAGGTTGAAGATTCAAGCTCCCATTTAGGAACCCTGTGTGGTGGACATGTCTTAAGATTGTAAGCGTATTTGTTCAGCCTGGGCAGAGCTATGCTGCCTACAGATTAACACTTTGTGTGCATGGTGTCCCATCAATTTTAAATGTATGGAGAGAATCCTCAAACTTTTCCTTGGAGTCTAACTCTTCGTTGGTAGAACGAATATAATGTCTTTAGATAAAACAAAGCCTCCCACTCTCCACTGCCCAAGTTAGGAGAAAGAGATGGTGGAGCAAGTAGCACCATATGTTCTTAGTGCTGTAGGCGAGTAGCACTTGGCCTGCTTGACTCAGTACCTCCTTGCCGAGACATGAACAGAAAGCTGTGAGTGATGAAGCAGATCTAGCAGGGTCATGTTCTGTATGTGCTGCCTCCAGCAAAGGTTTTTGTGTGAAGGAGACAAATGCATGTTAACTGCCTGCTTGGTTCTTCAGGTGAATCATGGTCCAGAAAATTCTCAGTATTGGCTAAGGACTTGGTAAATAGCATGGACTACTACATCATGTTTATAAACCCTTGGTATAGTAAACTTTTAAAAAATATCTTCCAGCTTTGCAATAGATCTGAAACCAAGTGACTCAAGGGACATTGCATTACATCTGAATCCCCGTGTGAAAAATAAAGTTTTTGTAAGAAACTCGTACCTTCATGACAGCTGGGGAGAAGAAGAAAAAGAAATTACCAACTTCCCTTTCAGTCCAGGGATGTACTTTGAGGTAAGATTAACTGAAACATAGCATAGACTCAGACTGGTAATTCTGCCGAAAGGATTAGCAGTAGTGCTTAAATGTCATATCACTAATAGAGATTTAAATAAAACTGCTTGCCATTCCTGTATTTCAGTGTCTTGAGAATATTTAGGATTAAATGGGACCACAGGGAGCAGAGAAGTGACTTGGTTTCAATGGCAATTTTCTTTTTAAATAGTTGCAGGAATTCAGCCAGTGCTCAGTATGAATTTTAACTGAATTGAGTTGGACTTGATGATCCTTGTGCGTCTCTTCCAACTTCAGTTATTCTATGAACTTTATTGAAGTTCCAGCCTTTTAAATGTTTCTTTTGCATGAAACATTCTTTGTAACAGAAGCAGAGCTTGCCCAAGTCTTGGCTGGATCATCAGGTTGTTTTTCATGTCTTACTAGGGCTTAAAACGTAACTGTTTCTTTTCTTGCTTTTCAGCTGATCATTTTCTGTGATGCCCATGGGTTCAGAGTTGCTGTTAATGGTGTTCACATGCTGGAGTACAAGCATCGTTTTAAACAACTGGGAAAGATCAACAAAGTGGAAATCTCAGGAGATATTAAACTATTAGATGTGAGGAGGGCATAGTTCTTTTCACTCACTACAAAAAAAAATAAAACTTCTTATAATGACAGGTACCTCCTTGTCAAGTACAAACAGGCACTGACTTGTGCTGAGCCTGCCTTTATCTAGGCTTCTGTGTCTGCCTCTCTGAGTTAGGTGAGTACCAGAACTGCTAACCATGAGGTTAAATGCCCATCTAGTTTACAGTATTGTGGCAAGCTAAGTAAGTGTTTGCTGAGATAAATCTCCTGTATTACTAAACGTAGCAATATGAAGACACTGCATCATACTGTGTCTAACAGTTGCACTCAGTATGTTTAACTCCTACTTGGCGTTCCTTGATAGCATAGATTCAGTATTGTGAAGTAAAAACAAGACTGAAATAGGATCTGAAGATATGGTTATCCACACCAAAAGGGACATTGATAATTCATTTAAAATAGAATATTGAAATATACTTTTCTGCTTCTTAAATTTATATTAGCAACTTTTTCCTGAGGCTGGATTAAGCAAACAGTTGACTCATCAGTTCTAACAAAAGGCAAGAAGGAATTTGATGATGGCCTGCTGCTGCAGTAGTACCTTCTCTAACACTCATGGTTATGTCACCTCCTGCTTTGTAAGTGATTAAATTGTAAGATTAAATCAAACATACAGCAACACTTCTAGCTTTTAGTTTTCTGAGGTGAAACAAATGAAAATGATTTAGGTCATTCCAGTTGCATGAACCTTTGAAAACTTATTTGATCTGAAATAGCTCCTGAGTTGAAAGTGTTCAGAGACTGAAGTGGATGTTTGTTTTTTTAAAAGTGAGAGTGTGAACCCATGACTTGGATACTCATCAGTGGAACAGAGAATGGATCCTTTTTCAGTCTTGCATTAAAATACTATATATATGAAACAAGCTGTTTTATTCACTGTTTTCTGTACAAATGTCAGTCTTAATTTTTATACTCTTTAAAAATAAGTTGCTACTGGCTGTCAATGCATGCCTGAGGGCTGTTCCTACTTATGTTAACAGCTGCTAAGAGTGAAGCAATCTCAAGAAGAAGCTGTACCCTAAAAAACTGTTTAAGAAAAGTAACCATATTTAATGTTTAAAAAGCATAAATAAAAACGTGAGCTCTGCTTTTCTCCAAGTGTAGCTAAGTTGCTATGATCACTTTTTAGTCTGTATTTTGTCTTGTTTCAGTTATCTTACCAGTATCTCCAAGGTGGCACAGTGAATCCTGAGTAGAGGCCCATTTCACATCAAGGAGTTAGCAATCCACAGACCGGTTAACCTGAGTAGCCTCAGCTGTGCTGGTGTGGCCTTCAGGACAGTGTTGTGCACCTACTCCTGGGCTGCAAGATAAATGTAGCTGGCGGGCACCTCCCACTCAGGAGTGGCAGATACAGCACCTGTGTCCGTGCCTTTATCTAATTGTTCAGCAGGGAGTTCTCATATGAACATTGGTTTTGTTTGACAGCCAACATGATTAATAGTTGTTTTCTTTTAAGAAAATCCTGTAAGAGCACAGATGACCACAATGGGGTCACCTTTCCACAGATGGGATCTGCATGACATGCTGCACCCTGAACAGAGAGGCCTAGTCCCAGCACCTGATGGGATGTAAGGTTAGCTTCTTTATCATGTTGGTTCTAATCAGTCACATTTTGAAACATACTGTACAGAGTTTGAGTGTAATGCACCAGCACCTACTGCTGCAAAGGTGGTGAGCTTTTTGTTAAATTTAACCTAGCAAGCAATTTCGTCATGATCTTCAGGTGAACAATAAGCTAATCAGTAGCAGTCCTTAAAGACTGGGTCCAGAAAGTACCGTGCTTATGCTGGAGCATGACAGCCTTTCCACAGGGCTTGTGGAATTCAGTGAATCTTGCATGTTGTTACTCTCTGCCCAGCTACCAGAATTTGCTTATAGCTTGCTCTAGTTTCCCACTGTTAAGAAAACAGCAGTTAAGGAAAAGTCATATAGAAAGTCCCCATGCCACCCAGAAATGATAAAGCCAGACTTTTAGAATATTTTTATTACGAAATTAAGATCTTAGCTCTGATAAAAATTAGTATGACAGTTCGCCTCTAATACTTAAATGTATGAAGCTAACCCAGTTCAGACAAAATTTGAAAAGAAAGGGGATAAACTTAGAAGTAGCTTTGGAGTGGTTCTCCCAAAATGACTTCTAGCTGTTGAATTGTCTTCTGACACTGCTGTTCAACTTCTTCACATTCATCTAGAAAAAGAAATAAAGCAGGAATTACGGAGAGTAGTGATTACAAAGCTATCCTGGAAATGCTTCATCACTCATCAAGGCTAGAACTGTCTTCAAACACCAGGTATGAAATAATTGTTTGAAATCTTTTGGGACTCAGGACTTAAGCAAATTACCTCTACTGGAACACTGATCTAAAACATGCAACTGGGGAGATACATACAGGCAAGAACACTGAAGAAACTACCATAATTTAACTGGATTTTAGGAGTGTGTTGGATGCAAACCAAAATGGAATGTATCCTGCACAGTTTAAGCTACTGTATGCCAATTCATAAGATTTTATAGCAATTATAGCAACCATCCTGTCTGAATCGTTGAAGTAAGCACCCCTTATTCTTTCCTGGTTGTAGACCAGCTGCCTGCCTTCATTAATGCTGTTTTAGAACATTACCTTCCATGAGCTCAGCTAAGAATGGAATAGATTCTGGTAGCAGGACCAGGTAGTTCTCCTTCAGTTTTTGTGCAACTTCTACCAAAGCAAGCAGAGCAGCAAATCGGACCTAAATCGAAACAATAATCTTTGTAAGGACACAAACATTACTGTACAGTTCCCTGTTTTCTCCTGGCCATTCCCCCCTCATTTCCATGTAAGTTTGTAAACTAGCTTTCCCCAGTGAAGGAAAGTAGTCTTAATCTAACTGAAATCTCAACATCCAGGTTAAGATAATGTCAAAGGAAAAATAGGTTGCAAGAAGCAGGTATGTTGCTGGAAGTTATTTGATATAACAGTCTAAGTTCCTGTTACAGTGCCACTGTTTCACGGCATCAGAAGGACTTAGTACAGTGAAAAACCAAGTACTCCCCCCTGAATACATATAAGCTGTCAAATAGGCGAGTCTTGACAAAACTCAATATAATAAACAGGTCTGAAGGTTGATAAATAACTGTCTTTCAGTTCCTCCTCTAAAGTGTGCCTTTCTTCATATGCAAACAGGTTAACTCTTGTTTCAACACCTACCAAATCTTTAAAAAACTTAAAGCACACAGTATGGAAGACATCCACACATGGTATATTGACTGCTTACAGTCAGCAGAAGACAATGTTGTATACATCTCTCTAGAACATGGGTGTAGCATAGTACTATATCAGTATTTTAATTTAGGTTAGTATTTTAGCAATGACTTGGCTAATCCACTTCTGGTTTTTGGGCCACTGTTCTCATTTTCTAACACAACAAAGAAAACCAGTTCAAATTATGATCACTCCCAACCTTAGGAGAGGTGTGCCTTGTTTTCAGCAGGATCTGGTAGTTCAGTGGTTTCCAAAGAGAATCATCTGCCATTGCCACTGAAAACTGAGCTATGCAGGGTATCAGGTGTGCTGTCACTCTTTCCTGGAACTTTTCATCTCCTCCAAGTGTATTTTCTAGCTGTGGAAGTAAAGAGCTTGTCAAACAGATCCAGGCTCAGATAAACCCAGCCAAAATAATTTCTAGCTTTGGCTTTCAGGTACTCAGTAGTTACATCAAAGAGCATCAGCGGGAGTGCACTGGTCTGCAAGAGCTCAACAACATGCATGAACTGTACAGAATGAAGACATTTAGAAAGAGGATTAAAAATTCATCATTAAGAGCCTTAGGCAAAGCAGTTAATACTGTCTGTAGCCCAAAGACAATGAAATAATTCCTCCCTTTTTGTTAAGGGAGAGGATTAAGACCTGATAGTTAAAAAAGTAAATCTTTCTGATGGGGGGGGGGAAACCAAACCAGCTATGAATTGGTTTTTTTGTGTTTGTCAATACCTGATCGACCAGAGGCATCATCAAGGTTTCTGTTCTTTCCTTACTCAGGAACTTCTGGGTGTCAAACAGGAAGAGCTTGTGCAGACAGTCCATGGTGAACTGCAAGAGTAGACAACTCTTTTCTGTGCTATTCTCAGAGTCAAAAAAGGCATCATCTACATATCAAGGAGAAGAAAAAATATCAAGAGATGAAAATACAAAACTTCCCCACAAGATAGCTATATTCACAAACTAACAATGTTTCTAAAGGATGTACTACATCATCACTCAGAACAATAAAGTAGATGAAGTATGTTTCTGGCTTTTAGCTAATGCTTTAGCAGGTCTGCCACTGTATTCAGTCAGCTGGTGATAAAACAGAATAGCCACAGCTATAGGAAAAGTGATTAGCCATATCTCTGGATATGGAGAATTCTTCAGGTCACTACACATGGGATGGGCAAATAGTTTCCCATGAGAGAAGTCAATGAATAAAAAAGAAGAAAAAGAAAAAAGAGCAGAAACAAGTCACCCTTCTTTCCACACAATTTCATTCTGGAAATCACTGGGACTGACTTTGGAAATTTTCACATGGTCTCAAATCTGTACTAACAGCCCAGAGCCCATGGATTAAAAAAATGTTCTTTGGTTCCATCAGAATAAACAAGATGCCTTATTTATGAGAGAAAGAAGAAAGATAAATGAGAGGTATATGCTGTGAAGTAAATCTTGTAAGACTAAACTTCTAGCAGTTATAATTAACCTCTTGCAGCAATTGGAGTTAGCTAGCCAATGCCTCTCTGTAGTCAGTAACTGAAAACTTACCAGTCTTAGAAATGTTGACCTGATTCAGTGTCTCAGCAAATGGCTTCACTAGATGACCAGCGAACAGGGTAAAGAGACCCTTGAGCTTGTCCGCAATGCAGTCTGCTATTCGGTGGAATGTCAGCAATCTGTCTTTTAGGCTAGACTCTGTTTTGGACCAATCAAAGAGCTGAAAGTGAAAGGCAGATTAGCTCTTTCCTGTGTCTGTGCACTGGAAAATACAAATATGTTAATGCAGATGAATTATATTTAAACTTATTACCTTGAAGAAGAGGGGTCTGAAAGAAGCCTCGGAAAGTTTCATGACCATACTTGTTAGACAATTAATAATACAAGCTTCTGTTTTACCAACTTCCTCTAAATCATCCTTGAAGAAATAGAAAACATAATTCTAGGTTTGAAATGTAAGAATTAGAGCTTTCAAAGCATGTTTTAGTTTTGTCTGTTTCAGACTAAACACCTAACAATGTTGTCTTCTAGCCCAAGAACAATTCCAGAACAGAATATTTGATACCCAGAATTTCAGAGCACATATGCAATGGAAGCTACTAATATTTTTTAAGACAATTGATAGAATTAGCATGTAGAGGTTCATCCCCCTAAACAAGCCACCTGGGCATGCTCTGTTCGGAAGTCCAGGGCTTTCATGAAAAATGCCGTCAGCTCAGCCTGATGGGCGATGAGGTGCTCCTTCTCCATACCAACAATGTGCTCCTTCAAAATGTCCATAAGGGGACCCAGGCAGTTCTGCCAAAACAAAAGCAAAGCAATGCAAAGGCAACTGGGATATTGACAGTAACCAAGAAACAAGAGAATTGGATCTGTGCATTTCATACATTCACTCTTTAAAATACTGCTGATAAAATAAACTTTTTCCTGTACTTTTGGGCTTAAGTTAGTAGGATTCCTGAAAAGATTTTGGTTTCCCTGCTCCAATACTGGATACCAGTTAAGTCTTAAAGGTTTGCATGTATGAGAATGTCCAGATGAAAATTATGACTCAACTCATGTTCCAAGCCGAACATAAAGGCCAGTCAAGGCCTTTATGAATGCTCTCAAGCATTCATCATCTAACAGGCTGAGGACATGCTTCATTTCTCCCAGGTCTAACTTTCCTGCATCACCACTGCAGTATAAAAGAAGACAGAATATAAACACTGTGCTGGGTTTGGCTGGGACGGAGTAAATTTTCCTCACAGCAGCTTACATGGTGCCATGATTTCAATATATGACCAAAACACTGATAACACACCAGTGTTTTAGCTATTGCTGAACAGTGCTTGCAGTGTTACGGCTTCCTTTGTCTCTCACTATGCTGTC